CTAGCAATCCTACTCCTAGGCGAACATCTGGAGAAAACTCTAATTCAAAAAGATACGTGCACACCAGTGTTCATAACAGCACTTTTTACAACAGCCCAGACATGGATGCAACCTAAAAGTCCATTGACAGATGAATGGATAAAGAAAAGAGATATACATATGTGTGTGTGTGTGTGTGTGTGTGTATTCCTTTCCATATATTTTTTCATTATAGGCCATTACAAGGTAGTGAATATATATTCTACTTCCTGGGTAGGGTAAATATTCCAGATAATTTAGCCAATAACATAAATAGACTCTAGAAAGTAACCTGGCAGTGACATCTTAAGTTTTCCCTTAAGAATAAATTTTCCAGATTCACATTTCTGGGAGTATAATAGAAAATTCTTACACTCAATACACATATACAAAGCCTAATTAACCACTAATTTTCGAATTTTCAGCTTACATTAAAAAAAAAAAACAAGGTAGTGAATATAGTTCCCTGTGCTATGGAGTAGGACCTTGTTGTTTATTTTATATATAAAAGTTGGTATCTACAAACCTTGAACTCCCAACTCATCCCTCCCCCTCCCCTTTCCCCTCCGGTAACCATAAATTTGTTTCTGTGTCTGTGAGTCTGGTTCTGTTTTGTAAATCTGAATTATTTTCTTCATTTCTCTCCCTACCCCCATTTTTTTCTCTTCTTTCTGGAACTTGTATTTAGATGGTAGACTTCTACTTATCTTTTGCACTTTACCTTTGATTCTTTCATTTCTGCTCTCACATCTGTAATTTTAATTTTTTGTTCTCTGCATGTTTAGAGCATCCTGTTTGTTTCATAGTTGTAGTATCTTTCTTATATCTCTAAGACTATAATAATAGTTTGTTTTTTTAACCTGCCTTACATAATTGTTTTCCTCCAAGTTGCTCTTCCCTGTTTTATCTCTTTCATGGTAAATGGCTTCCTCAAATATCTGGTAATTCTTGGTTGTTGATTAACATTTAAAAGTGAGGGCCCAAAGACTGGAAGCTCTGGGTGTATGTGTGCGGCTAACCATCTGCGGGTTTCTCTGTGGGTAATCTAGCTGGGCCATATTATTGCAGAACTTGGAATTTTCAGTACATTTAGATCTTTTTGGGGGGGAGGTACTGGTCCATTCTGAAGATATTTCCATCCTCCTGCCTGAAAGGTAAAGGCTTGGCTCCAGCATTCTGGGAACCAGATGAGGAGGAGAGGAAGAATGAGTTCCAGCCACCAATATGCACATTTATCCAACTCTCCCATTTTCTGTTTCCCCCTCTTAACTGGGCCTGTAGTCTACTAACTTAGAGACAGACCCTCTGTCTTTACCCTCTCCAGAGAATAAGCACATAAACCTCCATTCTTCTGCTGGGGTAGGGACTAGCTGGTTATTCCCAAGTCACAGTGCGTGGGTGTCGGAGTGGGTGGCAGAGGAGACTAGGAAATTAACAACTACTTCGACAAACTGGTAACAATTGGATTTCAGCTCTACTTCTAGAAGTACTTGATGCTACAAATTCCTGAGAGCTTTGGGGATTTTTGTGGGGATTAGAATTAGGTTTGTTCCTAGTTTTCTCCACTGCTACTTTAGGATTTAGCTTTTTCAGTCCTGCCCAGCTGTTTGCCCCTTCTATCTAGGTTTTCCCAGCTCCCACAAGCTTGTTGGTATTTCCATCTTCCTCTTCACCTCATCGGTTTATGCCTTGGAGGGAAAAGGACCCTCATGTTAGTGGTTTTGAAGGCTACCAAATTAGATGCATGCAATCTACCATTTTTTCCTTAGAAGTCGTATGAGCATCTAGGTTTCCTATTCAATTCCTTTCATATACATCATCATTTAAATATCTTTAGTTGCCAAATAACACTCAGCTTTAACATTCATATTCAAGAATATTACCATTTCTATAATCCCAATTGCTTTCATGGGGTGCTATGCCCTGAGAGGGACAGATTAAATAAGGAATTGCTGGTTTACAAAGAAAGAGAAATTCTAAGTTTTCAGGTAGCAAACTCTTGTAATCACACACACCTGTCATGTGATTTATTATGCTTTTTCCCTTCATAGTCATGGTTAAAAGAAGTATTAAAGGTGGGGCGGGGGTGGGGGGCGTGGGGGGGGTCTCCTATTGATCAGTTTAAGACTGCAGTAAAGAATCTAACCAAAGATGGAATTTGGTTAACTTCAAAGTGGAGACCAGATTTAGTAATGGAGAATAAAGCCCTGCTTTGTAATGTTTCGGCCCACGAGTTAATCCAAAGAGCTCTGGTGGGCTTAGTTGCAGATAGGAAAGGGGATCTAGCTAGATTTTGGAAGAACATTTTTACATAGACAGGCCAAGTCATGCTTATCTAAGGATTCTCTAATTGGATGCTATGAAGTGATGCACTTAACACAAGCTACAATGTAAGAATGAAATAACAAAATGAAGCAAAACAAAAAACAAGGTAATTTGGGCGAGGGATGAAAGGGAGAATAAAAACTAACCAAAGACAGTTAAAACTCAGAGCACTGCTAACTTGAAGTCAGAACACGTAATTGTGTTCCGGCTAATTGGAATCTAGTGTATTACTCAATTTTTGTCTAGATGGGGTAGCTTACTTGAATGCAGATATTCATTTAATGGACATGCTAATGACCGGCAGTTAAATTATTTGCAGCCTTTGAAAGTGTGGTAGGCACAATTGTCTAAACTAATTTTCCCTTGAAAATGCACTAACAATCTGAAAATCCACCAGGCATTACCTGTTTGCTCACGTTATAATCAGAGTTTCAGTCCCACACCTTGAAAGAATCCAGCACCAATGCTGTATCAACGGGGCAACATGAAGAGGAAATTTGGCGAACATCAGATTGATTCTACCAACGTCAGGGCTGAAACCAATTCACACAGCACCATAAAGTTATTTTTGACATCTGCTTTAGCAATCAATAAGAACAGGAATACTAAGGCAATCTAAGAAGTGGTATTTCCTCCAAGGCATTGACAGTCCCAGAAAGAAAAACATATGTGATATTAGTCAGAAAATAATTCAAATGCTAACGTGTCATAATGTCTCCAAATGCCAAAGAAGTTCCACTGAGTGTGGTGAAGGAAGACTGAGGGTCCGAACGGAGCTTTGGCAGACAAGAATGTGAACAGGTAGCTGGCAAGAGAGGCGAAAGAGCAGCCTACGGAAGGGAGAAAAGGAGAGGTAAGAGAGAGAGAGACTAAAAACAGCCATGCTCTGTAATCTGGAATGAAATGGTATTGAAGAGTTAGGAAGTCGATACATTTAAGTGCTAGGAATCACATCAAGAGTGGAGGTTTCTACTCAAAAAAAACCCTTAATTTATACAATTGTCAAAGGAATACTGTTCCATCTCTGATGTGTCATTAGACAGACAGAGCTGTCTTTCCTTCAAAAACCTGGTAGTCTCATTTTCTATCTCAATTTCTAGAAATAAACTTAAGCCAAAAAAAATTATGTTTTTCACCCACGAAAGAATGAGGAATTCTGGCTGGGGAATGAACTGTGTGGTATTCGTGAGCTGTTACTTGAATGACATGAAGGAGTCCCAGAGTAAGAGAGGCTGAAGAAACTTTCAAAGCCAAATTGTGTAACTGCAATTTTCACTTAATCTTCCCATCAGGGATTTTTGCATTTACTGAAAATATATGATAGTGGTAACTGCACTGCAAACTTGGTCCTCAACTTTCACTCTAACTTCCACTCTGAACTTTAACCCAGAAGTTTTAGATTGACAGGATTACTACAAAGATACTAGAGTTCCCAATATACCCCACCCCCAGGTTATTTAATATTACTTTATTTATTTTGCCTCTGTTTCTCCCTAATGTCCTATTTCTGTTCCAGAATCCCATTTCATTTACATTACATTTAGTCATGTCTCCTTGGGCTTCTCCTGGGTGAGACAGCTTCTCAGATTTTTCTTGTTTTTCACGACCTTGAGTTTTGACTACTGGTTGGTTATTTTATAGTGTCTAGGGATGTCTGGCGTGTTTCTTGGGACTAGACTGGGGTTACGTGTTTTGAGGATGACTGCAGAGGCAAAGTTCCGTTTTCATCTCATCGAATCAAGGGTACATACCAGGAACATGACTTACTGCTGTTGGTGTGGACCATAACCACCTGCTGGGGGTGTTTGGCAAGTTTCTGTACCTGCGAAGTTTCTTTCCCTCCCCTCTTGGCCATGCTGTGCTCTTTGGAACAAAGTTACTTCACACAACCTGCAACTTAACAGGGGTAAGAAGTTCAGTTCTACCTCTGAGGGTGGAGAATCTACAAAAGCCGGAATTCTTCTGCAGATCTGCCTCTTTCCTATTTTTTCAACCACTTATGTTAGCATGGACTCTGGGCATTTTATACTTTGGGTTATAATCCAATCCTATTTCATACTGTTGTTCTGACATACCCTCATCGCTGTGGGAATTTTTTTAAGCTGCTTCCTTACTTCCTGATACCGTAAGGTGCTCCAGGCTTGCTTTGGGTTATTTCCTACCTGGGTCCCAGAATCAGCCATTTCTCTGAGCCCCACTTCTTTTTACCGGAGAATGGTATTAGACACCAAAGTGCAGGCCCCAAGGTGTGCTGTTGCTAGTGGTTAAAAATCAACTAAGTATTTTCTCTTTTAAAAAGGGAAAAAAGAAAGCTCAAAACCCAATTCTTGTTTTGTGTACCTCTCATAATAAAACTAGGATACACAAGTTACCTCTATATTGTCTTCAACCAATGATCTTGAAAAGGTAAAGTCAGTATGTCTGTGAAATAACCAGAAAAGAAAAATCAGCATTCATGAATTATGCCTGCCTTTATACGTCTAATATTTTTAAAAACAAATTCCTCTCTTTTATCTTAAACAAAAGTAAGTATCGGTTCAGCGTGGGAGCTGGCTTTTTATTCACTGCCCGGATATAAAACAGGCCCTTTTAAATAGCTATTGCGAAAGAAACTGACTGTTTTTGCTCTTGTAGGGGAAAAAGGCAGGCACAACATGAATCTTTTAGGCACTTTTTATTTTCCAAAAAAAATTGTCGTTTATAGATATAAACATCTCATTCTCTCAAAAAATTCTACAACTATACAGCTGTTTGCTCCATTCTTTGCATAGGAAATGACCACAATACAAAAATAAGAGGGAAAAAGAAGCAAAACAGCAACCAATTTCTGCTTTTCATGTAGGTGTGTCTCCACGTATAAACATCTTGAAGCCTCTTACAAAATATTTACATCGTTTGTCGTCTATTTACACATGTTTTTTAAGAGCAACTTTTCTAACAAACAAAACTATAATTTATCAAGTTATGAAAATTTTCTAAAAAAATTTACTATATTACCACAAAATAAATAAAGATAAACAATATTTTAAAAACAAAATTAAAGTCTCATTTCAATTAAGACCCCTTTTGGCATTTCGCTTATTCATTCTGCCCTTTGGTTAACAGCGTCAGCATCACATAACTATTTTATATTGCATATATGTAGCACTTGCTTCCTTAAGTTTTCAACATGTCATGTATAATTAAAGGCAGACACTGAGTCAGTATTAACAGTAGATTAACTAAACTGCACTGTAATTTAGGTAAAATTACTGTGTCTCACTGTATATTACATGCAAAGTCCACATAGATTGGGTCTAACCACTGTCCAGCACGAGCAACCATCTCGATATATGAAAACTGCATCATAAATTCAACGTTCCCGTATGTGAAAACTACCTAAGTCCTTCTTTTTAAAAATGATACTGCTTAGCTTATTGTAAGAGGTTTAACTTTTGCAATATTGTAACTATCTTTAAGCTCTTGTGTTCACAATTCATACAAAACGTCATTCATATTTAAAATAAACACTTCAATTTTAATCAGTGCGTGAAATCTGCTTTTGAAGTTCATTTGAATGATTATTATTTCTTCTCCCTAAAGAAATGAATTTGGTAAGGTGTGAAGAGGTATCTTACCACAAATTCTAAATGTAAATGCAGTCATGGTTATTTTCAAAAGAATTACGATTTTCCCCCAAAAGAATCTTAGAAAACATGTAATAAACCTATAAAGCTGATTTGCATATTTACAAAATTTCATATAGCAAATATAGGCAACTCATATTAAAAAAAAAAGACACATTTGTTCAATGGCTAATTGTGAATTGCCAGGTACACTGTGCACCTCTAAAGAATTATTGAGTATTGAAAAAATCCCCTCTGATATCAAGTAAAATCTTGACACACAATCGCATCTTCCTGTGCCTGCCAACCGACTTGTTTACTAAACACTGTCACATTAAACGGTGTTGCTTCAGTAAAAACACTACAAACACACCCTGCACCCCCGGCCCTGCTGAGATGTGGCTGCCTGTCTGAGATGATGAGATCTGCTTGGGTGAAGCTGTGTACGTTACAGCAAGCATTCCAGGTTCTGAAAAGGACCAAACACTTTGGTATTAATACAATGTATTCCCTGTTTTCTCAAATATACAAAATATACATTTCCAGTTTTTTGTTTTTGATTCTTTTATATATATATATATATATATATATATATAGTTAAGTTTGTAGTTTAAAATTTTGCCAAGTGAGCTGCTGGGCAGCGGTGGGCGATGCGTAGGCATGGTGGTGGCAGCAGTGTTGGCGACTCAGTTCTGGTGCCTCTTCATGTGCAGGGCCAGGTGGTCAGAGCGGGAGAAGCTGCGGTTGCACACGCCACACTGGAAGGGTTTGGCCCCTGTGTGCTTGCGGTAGTGGCGGGTCAGCTCGTCCGAGCGTGCGAACCTCCAGTCGCAGCCCTCCCAGGTGCACTTGTACGGCTTCTCACCTGTGGCAATGGACCAAGAGGGCGAGGTGAGGGGGCAGCTCACAAGACTGACACAGGTAGCAAGCACTACCTGCCTAGGGATGTCTTTAAAACTCAAGCTCCAAGTGGAGAGGGTGTGGTTCCCATGATGAATTAAATAGATGCCCTCAAAGTCATCTACTGAACAGGGTCACAGTTTTGTAGAAGAGCAAGGAAACAGAAATAACAGTATATAAAGAGAAAAGCACTCTGTATGCTTTTTAAAGAATGGAAAAATGAACATTTTAAATGTGCAGGATGAATCAGTGCTTATTTTTTGTAGAGCTCCTGCATATATAAATCTATGAAACTGACTAGATGAGCTTGGGTGGTTTCATCACTACTGTGCGAATAGTTTCTACACCAACAAACCCAGTTGAATTCATGAAGCACTAACGGCTCAAAGATGGCCAAGGGAGGAAGAGCAAACCTGGGAACTACTCAAATCACCAGTACTGTGAATTTAATGGACCACGACTGAGCCCCTTTTCCTCAACAAATTGGTCCTAAATGTTATTAAATTATCCACACTGAAACAGCCAGCACATAAGTCAGTTCGCTTGAACACATGGCCTTTCCAAATGGTTATCAGGGCACTCGCTCTTTGAAATTCACTCCAGGACAAACACACATTCACACTTTCAGATTGAAGCAAAACAAAGCTAGAAAAAGATTCAAGTTGAATGGTGTTAAGGCTTTATGCATTTGATGCTTAATAATTCCTTAACCAGATCAGAAAGTCTGGTAACGTCACTTGGGTAAAGTCATTCTAACATTTGCTAATATATGCATTCAATTCTTCTTTGTAAATGCATTGCACCAAAAAGATGATCAAAATTCATTCCATAAATGACCTGTTAAATGCATATTACAAACCAGGCACTGTCCTGAATACTTAGGATGTTCGAGTCATCAAGACAAAAATGCCTGATCTCATGGAGTTTATGTGCGAAAGACATTTTAAAAGCCTCTAATCTCAATCTTCCTGTTCTTTAACAATTCTCTTCACTTAGTGAATTGGTATCTGAGCCACTGTCCAGCCCCTGCAACTGGTATTATTTATCAATGTTGTCTAAAGTTTGCTGGTTGCTAATCTTTCAAAACTATTCAGTGTTGGCAGCCCAGGAGGATTCTGCCTATGGTGGCACCCAAAGAAACCCCCAAAGCAAGTTTGGCAAAGGCCTGATTAGCTTCCAACTTCATGCAACTGCCTCATATCATTGCATATATTTGATATACAAATAAAATTAGTATCACCTCTGGGAAAAAAAACTACTTAATATTTACAATTCATTTTTAACTCCCAGTTTTAGAATTAGTTAATTAAGATCATGTATTCCTCTAAATCCCCAAACCTAAGAATCTCTCACTGAGCATTAACTAGTAGCTCCAGTATTTATGCTTAATTTTGTTGTAATTTTCTATGAATTTCTTTAAGATGAGAGTTGTGAGACACATTTGCATATTACAGTACTGCTGGCTTACTGCTAAGTTTTATATGGATATCACATTAAAACTCTAAAGAGCCAAACTCCTAAATTCCTTTAAAAAAGTGTTTTCTCCTGCAAGGGAAGAGCCTCAGAGTTGCTTTGAACACTGGTTACTTAGTACCACGATGAAATTCAACTACCTTTCTGCCTGATTTACCAGGATCATATTCAGAAGTTGTAAGAATACACAACCGGGTCCAAATTTTAAAAGACAGTGTCCACATCAACTGAGGTTTCTACAGCTTGTGGTTATTTTATTTTTGCTGCCCTGATGACCTAAATTTATTTAGGACTCTGGCTCCTAAATAAAATCCCGTAAGGTCAAAAAAGAAAAGGCCAGAATAGCCCCTTGAATTTTATACCAATTACTTCCCAGGAGATTTCTCTTTCAACTCCTGTAATCTGCATGCCTGAGAAGACTCCTCTCTCTCCTTTTTGGCTCTGAACCAAGTCAGCTTTTTTGTTTTTGTTTTTTTTTTTTTTTTTTAAATTCTCTTTTTGGTGTCCATCACTCCACTCCATTTTAAAAATGCACACCTCAACTCCTGAAGTATTTTTTCCCCTCACAGTAAATTCTAAGAATTTAAGCTAATACACTTAAACCTTTTAAGTACCATAAAGAATAAACTTACAGTCACCAATAATGTTTAATGCATAGCAATGTTTTAAGACTGGTAGAAAATGTGGCTATCATTCTTACAGATGTAAATCAAACAGAAAGAAAACCCGAACTTTCTGCACAAGTGTTTGTTTTTGTTCCTTGTGAAAAATAAATCACAAACACAAACATGTTGGTTAAATACCCTACTGTCATTTAATGGAAAGAGTTATTTCTGATGTCTGAGGCAGGGAAAAAATTTCCTAAAGGGCACCAATTTTAAAAGAAGTCATTCTAGTCTTTTGAATTGATTAAATTTCAAGAGAACTGAATTTTCAGAGTTTATTTAAGAAACAAGGGACACTAGCCTCTTTTTGTTCACTGTTTTTATTGGCTATGAAGCAATAAACGGCATCAATAGTTTTTAAGTTTATTTTACTGATTGGTTGAAAACCGGTAGCCATTTAAAGCTCCTAAAACATTTGGGTTTCGCTCTCAATCTACGCACATCTATAGCTTATTCAGCCAAGAATACGACCAGTGTCTGGACGCTAGTTATGGGGCAGGGCTTTACCATAAAAGCAAGGACAACTGTGCCCCACTTGGGGCAGTTTCTGTGGGATTTGTTCAAGTGTCAACACAGCTCAAGTAAAACACTGTAGAGGAAGCTGGTACCCAATTTCTGGCCAAACAGCAGACTCCAGCCTTTCTTCTTCAGCCAGAAACACTATGCAGGGTACTTCTGGGAAACCAAACTAACTTCCTTTAAGTTATTTCAACAGGATAGAGCTTTCAAAAGTTTAATTGGATTTTTACAGAATCTCTTTCCAATACCACCAATTTAAAATATTTAGTTAAGCCCTCTCAACATCAACTGTATTTTTAAGTTCTCATGCTGTTAATGCGAAACTTTCCAAAGGCAAAAAAGGAAAAAAGGGACAAATTTGGACAGTGTGAAAAACAAGCTTCAACTTTATCTCAAAACATGTACTTTCTCATCCTATTTTAAAATCACTAGCACTATTAGGAATCCCTAAGCTTATTTAAAAAACGTTAAGTTAAACATGCATATTGTCCATGCTGATACAGTTAGCTAATACATTTTATTAAAATGTTAAGCAGAAACATTACCAGCAGAAAGAGGGAGGGAGCAGACAGAAGCAGACACTGGGCTCCTAATCCAGAATCAGGTACCTATCAGTACTTCATTCAGTGGTCACAAGAACTCTGTGAGTTAGGAACAAAACAAGCAGCTCCAGGATGAGAACCCTGGCCTGCCACTGTTCCTACATGGCCAACTTCCCTCCTGCATTAGCAGGCACTAATACACTCCACATGAATGATTTAAGGAACACGGATACTGTCCACATGTATTTAAAGATTCTAAAGCCACTTGTGATGGTCAGTTAAGGACTAGCTTAATGGACTCAGGGCAGGGATTCCACCCCAGACTGCAGGAAACCCAGGGGCACACCCTGGTCGAGCCAGCCCTCAGAGGAGCCTGGCTTTTCAGGACCCACGGAGCCCTGAGAACTGTTCTGCGCTGGGACTGACAATCCTCCACTATCATCTAACGACGGCTCTCTTTTACCCCAGACTAAGTGAACCTCAGTGGGTTAGCAGAACATGTTTGTCAAGTGTCTGGAAAGTCTTTATTGATGAACTAAACAATTATCTATTTTTTCCCTCTGATGAATAGATTAAATGACTTCTGAGTCTACTACAATAGAGCAGGAAAAGTTTCTCTGCTCTGCTGAACACTCAATAGACTCAGAGCAAGGCCTTTGCCTAGAATGTTCTACGTAGATGCTTCTAACGACCACAACAGAAAAATCATAGATGGAAATAGTCATCTTACAATAGTTACTTTAGGTAACTTTTTCGAAGTTTATTACAGCAAATGTGCACATCTGGCTTCCTTCCTCATGGCTAAACGATAGAGTTAATCAATTATATCAGAGGCCAAAAAGCATCAGAATTAAAGTCAGTATTTAGAAAAGGAGAGTGTAATTTGTACTAAATGACTATACTAAGTGACTTGCAAAACACCACAAACAAGACTCGGCCTCTGGTCTCAAAGAGCTGAAAATCCACATTCTATTCTGACAACGAAAACAATGCAAACTGTTAAAGTGGAATAAATCATTTCAATAGTCAGCCCTTAATTCTTAGAATGTATGCGTCCTTGAAGCTCAAAATGAGCTCTTATTTCAGGAAAATATTTTCATGCAATTGAATAATAATTAGATCTTTTCCCATCATTAGAGACATGGAATTTAGAGTCTGCAACAGTATATATTCTAATAAAAGGTTTAAAAAAACAGGAAGCATTAATCCCAAGATGAAAAAAAAAATCATGGGGAAATGAATTTTTAACTTAAAAAACAGATAAAGTAGGATGATTCTGGCTCATTAATTCATACTTTTATGTATCCATGTCAGTAATTTTCCATTAAAAAATCTTTTTATTAAAGGTCACTGCAGCACATCTCCTACCCCTGGCAACAGAAGGGCAGGCAGCTCATTTTAAAGATTTGTAGTATTAGTATTTGCAAAATGCATCTAGTGTTTAGATCGAGTATCCCTGTCAATAATGTGCCCACATTAAGGAAACTAATTAAAAGGATACATTAAGAAACTCCTTTGTTTCTCCCTGTTGGTCAACTCGTGTTTATCCCTTTCTTTGAAATCTGACTCACTTGATTCCTTCCAGAAAGCCTCAGAACCGTCCGAGATCATACCACTTCCCTGTATCCCCACCATCTCTTAACTCTGCTCTGAATGACTGACTTGCGCTTGCATAAATACTGCTGAGGGAAGGCTTCAAATAGCTGTCTTGTAACTTAACAAGCTTTGAAAGTTCCTCAGAGGCAGGGACGGTCTTCCATTTCAGC